TACTGAAATGAAATCAGGGGTTCTAAATGTACCTTGAACTTTTTCGCTGTATTCTGCATGTTCCTTGAGACACTTGTAGTAAAAGAAGTCTAAGTCCTAAACGAAATAAATGGTCATACGGTCAATAATAAAATTGTTTACTCCTTGCATCAACTATAGAATATGGTTTCAAGTTGAGTGTATTTATAACTTGTGTGTATGTGTTGTTGTTGTTGTCCAAATACCAACGTTTGATGTCAGAACGGAGATGGTAAGCGTAAGCAAGATGATTAAATAAACAAGAAATGTCTCAAACAGTCTCAAATTCAAGAAATCTCCTACACAATACGGAATATTACGTCAATTTCACTTCACTTGTGTGTAAAGTAATAGAAAACACTCGTTGTTGCTATACGACGTTTGCAGATGATTCATCAAATATCGATAACAAATATTAGACACATTGTGATAGGTACATTGTATGACATTCGATGTTGCTCCTGCTGCTGCGACTGTTGTTTTAGGCATTTTTAAATTTCCAAGTGCAAAATAATATGACTCAGGCATCCCATTGAGAGAGCGAAGCTCGTACTGTACATTTGTTTCAACACATTTGATTTTTGAATCATAACATTTCACATTTTGATACATAAAAAATGTACCTGTACTTGGTTTCATGTAATATACTTGAATCTGTTGCTGGGCAAAATCATCCGACCTTGCTGTTTTAGTGTGATCCACATTCGCGCTACACTAATATGACGCATTCCATGTTAGTTGAAGTTGACACTGATTTGTATTACGGTACTACTAGACCATATTGATAGTAATAGTATCCTCATTTGGTTCTTTTTTATCCAAGAATACCAGTATAGGTAGCAGAGTACAGTAGAAATGGCTTGACCCTAAAAATAAAGGGCATGTCTCGGATAAACATGGATAGCGGATTCATCCTGCACAACACACCTTCATATATATATATATTTATAAACTATATCTTGAATACGTTTTTTTTTTAAATGATTGCATAATTTTTTCAAAAAGCGATTTCCCCAAATTCAGGACTTGTGAAAACCATGGTTACCACTTCAAAAAACGCCAAAAAATGCAAAAAAACATGATATTTAACCCAAAATTTGACCCATGCAAGTAGTAATTTTATTCTTAAAACCTGTCTTAAATTAAAAATCACCTACTCGGTCACAAAAATACTCACGTTTTATCATAGGTTGAAAACTTGATATTTCACAATATTTACACATGTGCTGAGAACAAAAATAGACTACATGAAAAGCTAGCTTTTGTTGTGTAGACACAGATTCGTAAATGGCCAAAAATGTAGTCTCGAGCCAAATTCGATTTATTATTTTTAAATGTGAAACCCACATAGTTCAACTCATCATGTATATGCCAATTTTAGAGCTGATTTTTTTGTTTTTGTTACATGTAATATTACAGAGGTTATTCATTGTACAAAATATCACGTGGTCACCGTACGCTATTGTACACTGCTACCATAGGCCTATACCCCTCCCCCTACTCATGTTTGTTCATAAAAATATGTATTATTATTTTCATCCAAAAGTTTAAAAGAAACAAATGTCATTAAAACATTATAGAGTTCACATGATAATGTGAGTTGTAGGCAGAATGTATAAATATATAAACAAATGGTTTGAGCCGATATGCAAAACGATGAAGGATGTATTTGTTTTTATTTAAATATACATAGATATTCTGAACAACAATATGTTTAACATGTTAGACAAAGCAGATTAGAGACTGTAAAGTCTCCGGCCAGTACATGATGATGGAATTGATGTCGGTTTCATGCTGGACTTGTTGTTCTTGAGTCAATATTGGTGTTAAATGTGGTTGAATAAAAACAGTTGCCATCACCAGGTACATCAATATGCGGAATAGTTTTGATTTTGATTAGAAATGGTTGCTGACGGACGCATAGGCCTAGTTATTTTTAAGTATGCATTGTGTTAAACAAAAATATAAATGGTGAAAATATAATGTTTCTAATTATCTTCCTTACTGATATTCTTAAAGCAGAGCAAACTAATGCTTTTTACTTCAATGTCTAATCAAAATGCTGTAATGATTTACACAGTTGAACGGAAGTACAAATTGTCAAGCGTTTAAAGTTTATATTTTTCTAAGTATCAATAAAGATATTTTACTGTACAAAACTGTAAATTTTGTTACATTAGATGAAACCAGATTCAATCTATTATACAAGCAGATCTAGCATTTAAATACTCCAATTCAAATACGGGATGTTCCACGGGAGGTAACTCGTAATTTCGAATCTTCATTAGTTTTCTTTGTCACCTCCCTATTCATTCTATACGCGTTATCGTGTTTTATTCCGGAGAAACTTAGAGATCAACAAGTGTTAACATATAGATATCATGCATTCGACAGAATATACCGAGTCACTCGCCATTTTAAAATGTTCTTAATGAATGGGACATAAATCCCAATTCCAATTTTGTAGAAAATATATTGTTAACCAATAAAAACAACACATATCAGCATTCAGTCTGCACTGACGCGATGAATCCAAAAAAACTATCTGAAAAGGCTCTGTCGAAACATATTGAATACACTTACGAGACATTTAGAGCCCCTCTGATTTTTTCTGTACATACTTATTTTTGTACAAAGAATCGATGTTATATTGTCAAAGCTTAATACCGCTTGGAAATATCAATATAGAATAACCAATGACCTGTTCGTTTATGCTTAACAACCAGTTTGTAATGTAACATTTTCGGGAATATATGCACAGGCCTTACAAGTCTTTGTCGAGGCTCGTCTGAACCAACCATTTGGATAGCGAGAAATTAAAGTGACACTGATTTCACCACACCAAACACACATCAACTGACGCAGGGGCGGGTCCAGGTGAGGGCGAAATGGGCGTACGCCTCCCCCCTTTTCAAAAAAAAAAAAAAAAAAAAAACCCCTATCGTAATATAAAATATACATGCTCCAAGTCAGGAACCGTTACATTAGTGCATTTCACAATTATTTTATGTTTTTAAGTAAAAAAAAAGGTCCAATTTTTTTTTCGACTCGCTCCGCTCGGCAAAAGATTTAATTATCCTAGAAACACCCCTGTGACGCACAGACAGAACAGACAGATACACAACAACTGACGTACAGGCAAAACACATCAACTATCTTACACTCAAATAAGTAGCAGACGTACGTACGTACAGACGGATATGTTGAATTGATACCGACAGAATGCAACAGTCGAACGAAAATATTCACGGGTTAGACGTACAGAGATCCTTTAATCAGACACGCGAGTGCGCGACAGACAAACAGACCGATACGCGAAGGACGTACAGATTCACAGTACAATCACACAGTAGACGTACATATTCACAATAAATGCACAGTCATACAACAGAAGTACGCACAGATATATTCCCAACAGAAGTACAGAAAGATTCGAAGTAGAGTCGGATTTAGTTGCCATTATAAGACTTATTAGCTTCAAGGGGCATAACTCTTACAAATGATACACACCAGACGTCTAGACGGTCATAAAAAATGCAAAAATAAGAAGGATACCGTATTTGTTATAGTAGGAGAATATGAGAAACGGTAGAGGGGTATGGCCCGTTGAACTACCGGTGGTATAATTGATTTACCAGGAGGTAAAACCCTTATGGTCTAAGATATATAGTGTTGAGTCGATGCATATAGTGCGCGCCGGAAAATCTACATGTATCTTTTAAATAAGCCGTTTTAACAAGTTCTTAAATTTCATTCGAAAAAGAAGGTCACAGGTTACATCTCGGCCCAGATACAAGTGCAAACGCATGAGCCCAGATAGCGTTGTCCCAGTCGCTATAATGTAGGCTTCAAGTTCATGTAAATCGTCGAATCTAGTGTTTTCAAGGCCCCTTTCTCCTCCTTGTCATGTTGGATGAACAGCAAGGTAACAACATCTTGGATGAAAGATTTTGTTTTACAACTAAAACTGCAACTGACGACTTAATTTGGGATTTAAACCCAGTCTAAGTGTAGGAGAATGGCCAGACTCTCTGTTTAATAAAACAGGAATTTCACCTGGTTTCCTTAGTGTGAAGCGATTATTGATGATTGACTTTTACGAAAGAAATCCTGTAACAGAATGACTTCCTAGTATACTGATAGCCTATATTACAGCTGGGTATACTAAAATTACACGTGTAATGTTTGTATCAAGGACACAGCAAGCGTAGTCTAAACTGATGCTTTAAAGTTTTAGTGTACTCTATTCTTATATCTAATTGATGACAACATCGAACGGAGGCACTTCTGACTTCTGATTTCTGTTATACACACGCAAATCGGCTTAAACCAAAAAGAATATTTCAAGAAACGATAAATGAGCTGATGGATTATGATTAATATGAGGTCAAATAATTGAATTTCCTTTTTTTATTTTGTAAAATCGACTCTGCTTTCAGTTTTCATCGAGAATGGCCCTTTTAATTTTCAAGCATAACCGACATGACAATTTCTCTCAAAGGGGTAGACAGACAGAAAAACGGAGACAGAGAGAGGGATAGACATGCAGAGACAGACCGAGACAGACAGACACACAGACAGACAGACAGGCAGAAACAGATAGACTGACAGAGACAGACAGACACACAGACAGACAGACAGACAGGCAGAAACAGAACCTGGCAGATACATGGAGAGAGAGAGGATGATTAAAACACAGCATCAGCAAATATGGACAAAAGTGGAAAGACAACAACTGTGAAGGCAAACGATTTCACCTCACCCCAGTTCATATCACAATTGATTGTCAGTGTACGGTTAGCAATTATGATTATAACTTAATTCAAATGATGTCAATGGTGACTGTGTCTCCGTTAAAATACCTAACTGATATGGTGTACGTGTGATTAGGTCCGATTTATAATCGCCCTCGTCTGATAACAGGAAGTATGGTATGTACAACAGCTCAAATCATAACCGTAATGCGGTACGGCATGTAACAGACACTGACATATCTTAAGTGTGCATAAGTTGTACGTTAACTGTACCTGGTAGCTTCCACATATACTTTTTGTTATATTAGAAATATGTGATATAGCTACACGAATCATTGGTGATATTGGGATATCAAACAATGGATCCAGGAACAGCCGACTCCAAAACAGCACTTGTGACACATGATGACACATCTACGCGAAGGACGTATCGGACCCGCTGGTACGTTTTGTGTTTAGTGTCTATAATGAGCTGTGTCCAAAACTGTATATGGGCAGGCTGGGGTCCCATCGCCCAATCAGCGAAGGTAGTCTACGGTTGGGACGACAGAATTATTGACATGCTAGTGAACGCTGGGAACATAGCTTGCATCGTTTTCATACTACCAGCGGCATGGCTGTTGGATGTTAAAGGTAAAACAGTCAGCTTTTCAAGTCTCGATAGCAAATATTCAGTTTCATTGCAAATTCCTGCTACAACCAGATCAGGAACATTAGATGTTCACGGTAGTGTGTCACTCACTAGAGATGCATTCGCTTGGACCTCTCGTTTGAACTGTGATAATGCTCTGCTCTGTGGTACATCTCAATTTAATTAAAACTATATCTTAATATACACTCCGTTCCGTAAACTACACTCTGCTACGTCATAAAGTTTACGGAACGGAGCGCAGATCCAGATATGGTTTTAATCAGATTTGGTATATCTGATACACTAACTAGCCGTCTGCAGTGGTTCCAGAACATTACATCACATCTGGTTATCTGTACTTATCTATATTCAAAAGAGAAAACACATCACAGCAGTACTACATCCATATGGCATTGGTTACCTGATATACAGGCCGCAGTATAAAATTTTGATGTACACATACAAGGTACGGATGAATAGAAAAATCCCTCAGTGTTACAGGAAGATTGTTACCCTTTATCAGTTATCAGTATCACTGCCGTCGGAGACAGACTCTCGTTATGCGACTTATGGAAGTTGTTGTTTCGGAATGGTAGCAGCTTCTTTGTGAAATTCACCTATTTCCGTCTGCATTTTAGACCCTCTGTAACACAGACGTCCTGCCATTACCATGTCATCCTATCAAAGGTTTCGTACAAGAATTTTATTATGAAATTCGATGCTTTTTAGAGACTTTTAAGGGGTTTTTTTCAGTTACATTAAGGCCTTAAATCTCCCGTCAATTGCAAATTCTCGATTTTCAGAGAACTGGGAGTTTAATCTCAGTGTCTCCTTGCTCTACGTCAAGTTGGTTAGTCCGAAAATCTAAAAATTAACTCATAGCACATATTTCATTTCCGTGTATTTTCTGAGTTCATATTTTTGAGAATAACACCTCAAACCACCAAAATTGATAAACAATCTGAATTTAACGATCAATTAGTCTAATCCAAGGTTCATCTTCATCCTTTCAAGACATTTTTGTTAAAAGGACTATCTACAGCTATGTTGAAATTACATGGGAGCCTGCTTCCTCATAACTTTCGTTCGGAAGTGTTACATGTACGAGAGTTATGCTGCTGTATTAACTTTGTTCAATCCCTTGTTCATCTAGAGTTATTACTTTGAATAACTTCACTAATTATTTAGATGATTAATTAACCTAATTACAGCAACGGGGTCGAAAACAGAATATCAGTCTGCAAATATTGTTCTGAAAAAATCATATTTTTTGCCTCATTATACTTGGTAAAGAACATTTTCTTTGATGTGATGCTAACATAATACATTTATTATCCAAAATGTGAGGATAATCGAGCATCTTGTGAAAATCATCATGTTAAATGTTAAGTGCAGGATATTTCGTTCTTATTATTACTGCATACCAAACATTTTCATGGTACATGTATGAAGAGGTGTTGTTTTTTCAAATATGGATGCGAAAATTCAGTCCAAAAAATTGATGGAAAGTATTCATTTCGTACAATCAACTGTCCTGTGTATCAAAATAGGTGAGGGCCTAAGACGCCTCCCTGGTGTCCACCAGAAAGCAGTGCATCTGATTACTGATAAGTGGTAATGAAATTCAGTGCAAGCCTACAATGAAACTTTCAATGCATTGTAAGTCACAAAAAAAGGCCTAATTTAGATTTGTTTCATAACTTGGCGTGATTGATAAAGTTTTATGTAACAATCAGTTTTGAGATAAAATGTAATATCCTTGTCACTTTTAAGAATTGGTTCTGATATATGTATACACTTTATCATCACCCTTTTGTTACTATATTGCTTAAAGGGGATATTCTATACTAATTGGTTAGCATTCATTTCATAATGAAGAGTAAATGTATTGGTGGAAATTGACATCGTATCTTCGTGAAATCTCGTAAATATAAATGGACAAGAAATTTAAAAAAAAAACACTACAATATAATTTGCTTTTGGATATACTGACTAAAAGTGGCATACATGTAGATTACTCAAATGAAGATGTTAGTATTTATCCGAAGTGCTACATAAGGTATCTGCGCAAAAGAGAATCTGAAACAAATCGTTTGGAAGATGAAACTACAAATAGTTTTCCTCTCTTAACAATCAAGGACCTTTTACGGGTCCAAGACATGATCTCTTTGTTTTAACAATTTAATTTCGAAGTAAAACAAATCCACACTTCTACCAAAAACGTGCCAGGCATCAGATGATTATCACACACAAATTGTGGTGTTCTCTGTCATCACGTGTCGGCTTATTTTATCTTATTGGCAATGACCAGAACCCATGTACACAGGTTATCCTACAAGGAAGCAAGCCTTTGTATTCTCAGTAATAAAGTAGTTCGTCTGAAAGAATTGATGACTTTTAAGAAGTGTCGTACATCTTATCAAAGAATCAATCAGCCTTCACTCTCAATTTTTGTCTCTTGGATGACCCTGGCTGCAAAGCTTGGACAGGTTGGTCCAGAGAACAGTTTCTCAATGTCCATTCGCACTTATCCTGTATATGCCAAAACTCTTTTCTCTCATTTCCTTGTGTGTAAGATAGAGCTGTCCAAGGTAAGAAAGGGGTGTAGGAAATTTCTTTCTATTACCCTGGGCAGGTGTATCCGCACTTTTACCGGTGTGAGATTTCCTTTTCTTGCATGCTAGACCGAGTTATCCGCATTTCCGGCGGTGCTGGAAAATTCTATCCGACCCACGGGTCTAGATCGCTTACACGCACAGACTGGCGGGGGAATTATAGTGACCTTTCGGGGTCACGCTATTGTTCGTGACGTCATTTTATGACGATTTGGGGCCAGTCAGGGTCATTGACGTCACTAACAATTGCCATCCGGGCTTCATATGCAAATTAGAATGTGCGGACAGTTTACAACTTTACTAGAAGAGCAGGTGTTTTTACGGGTTTTAGGTAAAAAGCAAGAAATATAATCCATCCCTGATATGAGGTAAGGATAAGGTTATTCAAACCTTCGGGATAAAATATTGAGCAAAAGACCCTCGGCAAAGCCTTGGGTCTCCTGCTCGATATCTTATCCCTTGGGTTTGAATAACCTTATCCATACCTCACATCAGGGATGGATTCTATTAGTCTCACCCTAGGGTTGAGACGGGGGGATTCCCCTATTCATAACAATGGCATGACGTTTAGCATGTAACATTATCATTACATTGTGTATATGATGCACAATGGGAGAACAGGTTAAGAGAAAAAAGAATCATTCATCCCCTTGTGGGTGAGAAAGGGGAATCTCAAACCTCGGGGAAAGATTCTTAAGTTGCCAAACACGAGGCTTTGCCTCTCGAGAACTTAAGAATCTTCCCCCTCGGGTTGAGATTCTCCTATCTCACCCCAAAGGGGGTGAAAGAGATCGATTCTATTAATCGTACACCCCATTGCACGTAACGTGACGTCACAACGGCTCAACAATGACGTCTACGATGCCCCAATGCGGAAAAGGCGACGTGACGAAATTAAAACCTGTTACTATATATTTACCATACACGTCAGAAAGATGGGATTAAATTTTCTTCGCAAACGCTGTTTGCAAATATGGGATATGCTTAATCTGGCTGGCTGATTCGTTTTCGTCTCAAAAGCTCAGGGGAAAATTGATGTTGCCAGTCCAAACGCATTTTCATGGTTTCTGGGCTTATTCTGGTGTTTGGAATGAGAGAACAATACTCTTCCATGCCCAAGGGTGTAGGATAGGAACATTCCCTATCCTATCCCCCTGGGCATGAAAGAGTCTGATATTCTCTTATTTCCCTGTGTATGAGATAAAGCCTCGGGTTTTACCAAATTTGAAAACCCCTTGAGTGGAATTTCCCTATCCTACACCCCTGGGCATGAAAGAGTCTTATATTACTGTTCTTTTTGGCTTTTCCTTGTTTAATATTTCAAAAACCTATCATTCTGTAGTACAAGCATGGAATAAATCTATAGTTCCATTGTTCCTTGGTCCTGACCATTTGAGTAGGGAACCGATACTTTCACACAATATTGTATTATCATAAACATTCTTTGGAGACAGAGTGTCTGCCATGCCAGAAGGTACATTTTTTTCATATTTAAAAAGTGCTGACCATAAGCTTCAGAGAATGACTAACTGTGGTCAAAAGCAACGTAATTATCTTAAATTTATGAGCATAGCTCTACCTGTTGTCTACATTTTGGACACAGTAAGACCATTCTCTGGAAGCCAAAATGATGAAAGCATTGCAAAACACATCATAGACAAGCCCATATGATAGGAGCAAGACGAAAATGTAGTCGTTGATCGTGGTTTTAGTGATGCCCTGCCAAAGTTAAAGGCGACCCCGTGGTGGAGGGCTAGTGGTAGCAGAATGTCAGACGCATTAACCTATTGGCCACCACGGCCCCATATGTAGATCCCATGCGTTATAAGAAACCTTCATTCTGAGACGAATACATTTTTGTTCTGGAAAATTTAATTGCTTGAGATGGCTTCTGGCTGTTGATTTGTCTGTAAAAATCTGATAACTCCCCATAGCAAAGGACTTTTACATGTATACCTATGATCCCTAGTTTTGGCTGCATTATAATTTATCCTTCAATGTATTGTTAGTTTGGAAAACATTCGTCTTTTGGGACATTTGAGAATTTCAATGTTATGCTTCTAGGAAACACGAACCAAGTGCTCATATGAATTCTAATGGTTGTTTTCGTTGTGATAAGGTAAGGTCTACGCGTCCCCTAAAGAAAAAATGAAATTAAAGGAGGGTCCATTTTGGAGAAAAGAAATACTTTCAGGGGTGTAGGTCCTTTTCATCAAATTTTGGCTTTTAACGAACCCTGTTATATACAGATGATTCTCATGCTCATGTAAAGTGTAGCTGTTCATACCTTACATAAATGCTAAATATATATTATCTATACATGCATCTGTAACTCTTGAACGATCATTGTGCATGTATTTAAACGCACCATGGATAAAGTTTGCAAATTAAAAAGGGTACTGTATATATTGTATGTATATTTATTCGAAACGTATTCATGAGCACTGTATGACTGTGTTCAAAGTCTACCTAGACACTAGAGATTTTTGTTCTTCTTCATTCTGATTCGAGATGAGGGGGTTCATAGATTATTGCACATCAATTGCGAGATATCAAACAAAGCGAAACTGAATTGATTTGTCGATTTTATCGTCATCTTATATAAAATTGTATTAATATAGCTTAGCCAAACTGATTTGCACATTCCCTTTACCGGTCGTTTGAACGATGATGGTGACACAGCACCTATATTTCTAGTCATCGAAACGTCACAAATAAAGTTTTCACTTGTTGTGCTATATGAAACTGTATAAATATATTTTTATAAATATTTGTATATCCAAGTGGTACTAGTATAGATAGTTTGTGTGTTTGAAGGTCTCCGTGTATCTATTGTGCTGGCGAGTGTCGTCATCGCCGTAGGATCAGGGCTTCGCTGTATCACTTCGCAGCCTATTCCTGCCACCTGGTATGTATCTTAAAATACAATGTCAGTCTTTTCCAGTTATCGAAATTGTCCAAATTATTTTTTATCTTTCAAAGTAATATATCGGTTTCGAAGACGTATAGGAAAATAATTCGGAGGAAACAAAATTGAGATCTCTGTGTTTGAGACACCATAAATGTTAGTTTAGGTTAACTTACGCTATATTACGTAATTGACAAACATTATCGGCCAAGGCATACAGTCATTTAATGGTCAATGTTATCAGTATAATGTTTTCAAATTATTGCTAGTGATAGATATCATAATGGGACTGAACTGAACGCTATCATTGTAGATATGTATTTTTTTACAGCCTCATGATCCCCTGCCTACATACCCTTCAAAACGTCATTGCTTCGCGACTGTTATTACATCTAATGATACACAATGTGCAATGTTTAATCTTAGTTTTTCTTTCGAATATATCAATAATTTATTTGATATATTAATTTTCAGTAATATATTCTTTGTATAGGCTAATATTTCTTGGTCAAATATTGAATGGTATTGGCGGTACTATGGCGTTCGCAGCGCCCCCTTTACTCTCCGGGACTTGGTTCCCGCCCCAGGAGCGGACGACTGCCACTGGTATAGGTATTCTGTTCTCCTCGGCCGGTGGTGCGCTGTCTTTCTTATTAGGTTTGTATGTGTAGCTATTCTGGTTTCCCCTGCCTGAAAAATAAATGAAAAATTATACACTAAAATTTATCTCTTTCACATTCCGATTATGCCTAGTTTATTCACACAGATCACTTACTTGTTAATTTTACTCTTATTTATCATAATCATGTTTTCCTCTACAGACATACATTGTATAAGAGATATTTAGTAATCGAAAAGAGATGAAAATGGCCGAGCGTGGTTCGAATGAGAAATGTCTGTGTATCTAAAGTCGAGCTGTCGCCCCTCATGCATGTTTTACGCTTTTCGTTATGTAGCGTAAACTTCTTTCAAAAAGAAAGGGCGTCACAAGATATTTTTTACATATTTTTGTACATTATTATCATGTAATAACATCGGTTTTGTATAATATATATACATGCATAATGATATGTGATACTCAAATAAACCTCTTGAATTTGAAGTGTTGATTATCATGGTTTCAAGACGTTTATACGATAAAGCTATATTTGACATATAAATCCGGTTAATTTTATAAATCAATTTAAAATACAAAACACAGTATATTATACCGTTATATTTACCACCCTTCAGGTCCACTCATCGTCTCGGAACCAACGAGTAGCACTGGGAATTACACGATCGGCAATTCTTCATGGTGAGCATAAACTATGAATAACGCCGTAAAATGACCTCCACCATATTACTATACTAAATTATAAATGGCCTTGTGGCATTTTATGGCAACCTCCAAATTCTCCAGCAAACCCGACAACACAAATTCGAGATTCAACACAACTCCACAAATTATCATGTAAATTTCATTCTTTCCTAGAACAATGCGTACCTTCAACAGCCTCCAAACCTTTATCGCCGACAGTGCTGACCTCTCCACACGGAAGGCAAATCTTCTCTCTCACAAATGCTTAGCGTACATGTTGTTTTAATCGTAATGTTCAGTACATTGAACGCTTTAGAGTATCCTGTTGAAGTTTAAGCACACTTTCGATTTATTCACGTAATAGCTGTATTGAACAATGGGGCGACAACTGCAAATTGTACACACAAATTGATATAGGGGGACGTCAGGGAGCACCGCTATCAAGTCCGTTATTTCAATAATAATTGCGGATTAATAGGGGCTGTTTTTAACTCTGTTTCCCATTCAAATTTGTCTAAAACAATTTTATGCAATACTAAAAATAACCTTTTCTAAAGGTAAAAGGTTACCCTACTTTGGATTAAATATCCCTCCTATCGAAAAAGAGTTCCAAAGTCATAAAAAGCGTAAGGCAACTGGCAATTAAGATTTTATTTACTTATTAATTAATGTATACAGTTTTGTCTCCAACTATATCTCACAAGTATTCATGGAGTTTGAAATTTTGCGGTGTAATGATTCCGAGAGCGCGAACATAATGCGGCCGCGAAAATTTCCCGGTATACAGTACACAGTTAAAATACATGTATACTCAAAGTAACAAAACCATAATTTAAGGGAAATAATTCCAAGGTAACAAAGTATGACAATAGAAAAAGACATATAATTTTTATTTAAAAGTATATTAGATACATATACAATATTTCAAACGTTCATGTTTGACAACTGATCCACCAATACCATTGAAATATGTATTGTTCAATGAGTGTTCGGGTGGCGTAATGGATAGAGCACTCGTCTTTCACTTCGAAGGCCTGGGTTCGATTGTATAATCGGACGTAAAAAGGTATGGGGTCATCTGTCCAACAATGTAGGTTTTCTACGGGTACTCCGTTTTCTTCAAATATATAAAACTCTATATGCGCTTCCAATCGGATTTCATGAGTGATAAACACGCTAACTCCATTATCCATTGTACTTTCGATAAGAAATGATGTCTTACTACGGCGAGATTTTTAGTCAAATTTACGTTTACTGAATCAACACAAGCACAGACACGCGCGAACATATTGATAGCCTAGGAAAGGTAGTGATATAGCTCTGGGAGGAATGTCATTTGATGTATTCACAAAACTATCTAACACGGTAGTCGAACCAGTTTTTATGTATCTAACATAGCTACCCGCGGAGACATGGGATGGTTATCATGTTATACAAAACAATCCGGGTAAAGGAGGGGATGGTATTTCGCGGTTAACAAATTTCTGAATAATATAGATACGGATAATCTGGTGAATAATGTAAACTTTTCTACACAATTCGTCGTAAGAAATCTTATGAATAAGCTACGCGTGCCAGATAGTGCAGAGTGGCAAAGTGATCTATGGAACGATCTAAGAATCAAAATGGGATTTTTACACTACATCACTATATTAATACATTTCTCTAAACAGGAACAACTCCTCTACCCCTGCTCTAGCCTGTAATATCAGTGATAAAGGTATGTTCATGTGAAGTTATTCCAAAAAATATCGAGATATCTTGGTTTAAAAAAAAAAAAAAAAAATTTTTTATTAAATATAATCCGGCAAATTGGTTAATATTTGTTGGTATTTTAGAGAAGCATACAACTTGGCATGATTGTAGGGGATGTTGTCCTGATTAATTTTGGATATGGGCTAAGCAGATTTTTAGATTAATAGCGCCTTTAACTATTTTAAATTAAAAAAGTATTTACATTCCACTAGAGTGTTATTTGAGGGGTTTTTTTATGCAATATTAAGCGTTTTATATTGACCATAAGGAAGCCAAATGTTACCTACTTTTGCAGATATTTCTTTGATGCGAGGACAGATAAAGGTTCTGAACTACCTTGGTAAGTAATTATAGGTAACTTATGTGAAGGTTATGTTTGTTTGTTTGTTTGTTTGCTTGGGGTTTTTTTTTTTTTTTTTTTTTTTTTCTTGGGGTTTTTTTTTTTTTTTTTTATTTGTTCGTCTTTGTTTGTTTGTTTTATACATGTTTCCGAGTGATAAGGTCATCCTATTAAGACGTTTGCATAGAATGACGAGATTCTAAAGTACCTAAGGACGGTACCGAAAAGGCAAGGCTTAGAATAGGTAAAAGGGGAAAATGATTATTGTCTAAGTGTGCAACTCTGCTTCCCTAAGGTTAGAACAGACGCATCCCATGATTCAACAAAATTTCACACATGAGTCGCCTCTTGCAATCATGCAGAGGGATACTCAAGCCGAAATCTTTTGCTTTGAAACATACATGGGATTTTATAGAGATTCCAGAATCTCAGGTACTTCAGGGTTTCACGATTCGTCGGTCAGATAGACGCCTTTGTCACAGACATGCAGGGGTCGCGGACTCGGTGATTTCACAGAATGAGGGGTTAAGCAGACTCCTGGGGCATACAGACACAGGCCCATGGTTCGGAACTGTTTTACAGCTTTGTCATATCTTAAAGATTGTTTGACGTTTATGTGAGACAATCTGCAGCACATTGGCTGTGTGGATTCTGTATTTCAAGATTTTTTTGTTTGTGTTACTACTCGGTTCATGTCATCATACTTCATGCACATAACAGCGTGCATGAATGGATGTATTGATCACATGACGGGGAAACAAGACTATGTGTCTCCCTCTTGTACCCGAGTTTCCCCCGTCATACTTCCGTTATTCAGAGTCTCTCTAGAAAACTTAACAAGAGTTACTGAACCTGAGTTCCGTGTGATTGAAGTAGACAACAAAATGGCTCGTAAGCCTCATGTGTTTTTGATCTATTTCGGTATACTCAAATCTTGCCCTTATTGTAGGGAAACATATTTTTTGTTTACCCTCGAATAATCATGTTTCATTCGGCTATCGTCCTCCGTGAATGGTCCTGTTATGGACATGTAAGTCAATTTTCAAACATTGGCTTGAATTGGAGTTGGTATCTTATCAGCCTTGCTATGGTAATGACAGAATTTCATGTCAGATTTTAAAAAGGTCCATTTTATATATACATCCTTTTCAACGTGGTTCTTTGTCACTATTTCCTCTGACTTATGACAAGTCGAATTAAGAGAAACACATGTATTCTAATGATCGTTAAAGTGCAGACAATCGTATGGTCTAGTTCTCGAGGCGACCAAGTGAATTCATGCACATAATATCGGGTTATTTTTTTTTAATTGCTCACTAATGAAGAATGTTTTCTCTTAATAACAAAACATTGCGAAGAAACGTCAACAAGCTTAAGGACAGGCGATTTCTCACAAACACCCTGTAATTATCTGAATACATTTTGAGATATATATAATTGGCTTTCACATAACGAGTTACAAATGCCGATATTTCGATGTCAATCAACCTTAATATTATCACAAAATTATATCGGATTAAACGGTATCGGATTTGCATATGGTGTAAAAATCAACAAGAGAAGATTTAAACTCATTACCAGTGTGGGTAGATTATGAGAAGTTCTTTTTTACACAACTAATAATATTTTCTAGGTGACGTTTCGATGACTAGTACGATATGTAAACTGTCACCTTCATTGTCCAGCGTAGCTGAAATCGACATCGATTTAATGGACAACTCGTACACATTTTACACCTTTGTGTGCATACGCTTCACTGGTCATTTGCCTGATGAAGGTGGGTGGCAGTGTACGTATCGTAGTAGTCATCGAAACGTCACATAGAAAATTGTATTGGTTGTATAAAAATAACTTCTCATAATCCATACATACCAACCCGAAGAAAATGTTTATAAACACTCAAACAGTGTGGGTAGAAATAGGTTAATGTTCAGAAGGACGTATATTATATATAAAAAAAAAAACGGGTAGTTACAAAGTACTGTGCTCGAGTGTGCTAAATATGAGGAGTGATGTTACGTAATTGATGTGTGTCCCCTTTTCACATGAGCTTTTGAACATGTTTAAGCACACACAAATTAAATTTTGGAAGATGTTGGAGAAAAACATATAATACATATAGGTGTCTGTTTCAACAGTTGTCGGCATAACCTTAACAAAAAAATGTTTTTGTTCTTATTTAAAAAAAAAAAAAAAAAAAGCTATGTACACAAGATATTAGTACATGTTTTAATTAAACTTGTATGTGACTATTTTACATGCTATGATGTCCGTTTTGTAAACTGTAAAGTACGTTTCTTCATATCAATATCTTGACGTGTAAGGTAATGGCTACATTTCCTCAGAAGTGTATTTATTGTGGACATGCTATACCTGCCATATAAGGTAATGGCTACGTTTCCTCAGAAGTGTATTTATTGTGGACATGTTATATCTGCCATGTAAGATCATGAGTTTGTTTTCTTTTAGGTAGATTGTCTTACTGTAAACATTTTATACCTGTCATGTAAATTGTTTCCAATAATTCCTCAACTGAAGGATACCATACCACTGCCAAAAGCTGTAACTATTCAAAGAAGTTCGTTTCTGTCCGGCATGATAAGATAGCTTTGATAAATCGTTTCTTAAAAGAAACCCATACTTGCGGGACTTGAATATTAAAAAAACAAAAAAAACAAAAACAAAAAAAAACCCATTGCTCTCAGTGTAATATCACTATGGAGCCCTGTTCCTCAGATCATTATACTATGCTACATGGTCAGCAAAAGTGTCCTGAACAAGTGGTGCTACATGTACAATTATACCCAAAAGCAAAAGTTAAAGGGCGATTTACTGAATATACAAAAAACTACCGAGAAATTCTCTAGATTTTAGCATGCAGTGGGACAAGGATCCTTAATAAATCTGTCAATGATACCTTTGTTGTACATGTATCTTAATGAATCTGTCGATGATACCTGTGTTGTATCTTAACCAATCTGTCGATGATACCTGTGTTGTATCTTAATGAATCTGTCGATGATACCTGTGTTGTATCTTAACCAATCTGTCGATGATACCTGTGTTGTATGTTAATGAATCTGTCAATGATACCTGTGTTGTATCTTAACGAATCTGTCGATGATACCTGTGTTGTATCTTAACTACTTTTCTTTGAAAACGATTTTTTACGATAAATTAAAACAAAATTGTGATCTTCACTGAGATAAAATACTCTATACACCTATGATAACCTATATTTTGTTTGCTCCCAATATATTTCGTGGCACATGTCGAATACAGACTGACAAACTTCCAACACAGTATTTCGAGATGCATATTGATCAAGACTATGTACAGTTCTTTTTTTCCCACCTCTATATTATTTTGTTTAAGTTCTCCCAATACTTTTGAATCAGGAGACTTGTATCGCTTTTAAGGATCCCCGTACCACTGCCAAAAGCTGTCACTAAGTGTTGGAAACTGTTTTTTCCAGCATGACGACGGCTTTGATAAATCATTTCTGGAAAGTAAACCATACCTTGCGGGATTCTTATCAAAAATAAAATAAAGATGGTTTTAACAAAATATTATCAACAACAGTGTTCTGTTCTGAATGTAAATAAGGCTTATTGGGGCTAGACCAGGATTCGAACCCTGGACTTCAGATTGATGAACATTGCTCTAACCGATTGAACTACCAGGTCAACAGAAGTATCCTGGTCCAACTGTGCTACAGTTTTATTTAAACGGAAGTTAAAGGGAGGTTACTGTTAATGAGAAAAAATGCAGTGCAGTGGGATAGGGATCATTTAAGGATATGAATGAGATAATATTAACCAGCCTGGATGCGTCGTATTGTTATGCATCGATGTTTATTTACAAAAGGAATACACACTTTTCACAAGCATTATATACACTTTCAAACTCTGATCGTTTAATGCTACGATACTTCAGAGTTTGGCCTCGCCGCCGGGATTGCTGTGCTGGTATTGGTCTACTTTCCAAACAAACCTCCCACTCCTCCAAGTGTGTCTGCTGGGGCCAAGAGAATGGGGTTCAAGGACGGTCTAAAGCTTATATCGAAGTCAGTTTTTTAAAGATACACTTGCGTGCATATTGTTAGGTATTATATATGACGTTGAAAAGATGTATGAAAATGAAGCTTCCAATACAGCACCTTGTCGTAAACCTTTTTCGCCATTTTAATCAAAATGACCACATTTTAGCAATTCTATTCGCTTTTCTTTATATGATATAATTTCCCGTAATGTTCATTACGCTGCCATTATAATCAGGTTGTGGACCATTCAATAGTGGAAACAAAGCTGTCTCTTTCATTAAGTCAGGTGTCTTTATAGACATTAAGACATCGTCAAGCAACACTTATACTGGCAAATTCAACAAATTCTTCCAGACATGTTAGGTTTCCTGTCTATTATTTTAATATTGATTAAATGAGAAATATCAGAAACAAAGAGGCATTAACACCATTTTATTTTATTTTCCATTTTGATTTGTCTTTGTGACAGGATGTTTGCATTTTGGCATCTGGCCTTGGCCTTCTCTATCCCATCCGGGGTCTATGGTGTGTGGAGCAGCACGCTTGATGTCAGCATCCACCAGTTCGGCATTTCTCAGGTAAAATCAGCAGTAATGTCGGTTACCATTTTGGCATTTCGCAGGTAAAATCATCAGTAATGTAGGTTACCAGTTTGCAACTTGCGTATGAATACAATCCTGTTGTGAAAAACATGCATATGTATTTTTTAAGTTGTCTGATAGAACATCATTAATGATGCAATGTGACCAAAAATATAAATGGATATTGTTAGGGACCTTATTGGGGGAACATGTTTGGACATGAGTTACCAGTGGCAACAAGTTAATTTTTAAGGAGTAGAGTAAATTGAATAGAAATATAATGATGGTGGATATATATTTCTTTTGATAAGTTGTTCTTAAAAGATTACGTAACACCCACACACATGTTATTGAACCCTAAAAGTTGGTAAAAGATACAGTAGGCCAAAATGAATTACACTGCATCAATATTCATACAGCTGTTTCATCATTCTAGGACTCATCGGAGACGCTATCTTAAAATTGAAAACTAAACGTTAACGAATTCTTGTTATAAAAAACACTACGTCTATCGTAGAATATGTAACACCGTGTAAGAAATAGGGGAAACCTTTGCAAACAACGGGGAAAATAAGAGATACATGTATATGTTTTCCTTATAACCAATGAAGGGATCAGACACCAGAAGAATGTTTGATAAAGTCTCGACACAGTCTTGACGCAGATGGCACGTTTCCTTTCAGTCAAAGTCAGTCCCTTTCTGTACAGATCACTCCATCCTGGATACTCTACTGGTTACGCTCACTTTTGTTCTAGCCACTGGAATATGTCATAGCAAATGGAAAGCACGCGGCTAGCTATTTAATTGGTCTCATGTAAAAATAAACCTGACCTATCTTTTAAGGTTGATATCTGTCCTTTGATGATAACAGGGGAGCGACACCTGATTTCAAAGCCAGTCAATTTTACAGTTACCCGACAGACAGATTGCTTTTGATGTGCATCAAAGTATCAAACTAGTCTTCTCGTCTTATCCACAAGCATTCTCTGGACTAGTTTGACGGTAAAATTGACTGCTTTTGAAGTCATGTGTTGCTCGTCTGTAATCTTCAAAGGTAGGAGTCAGCCTAGTGATTGGTCAGTTTTCTTTTGCACCTGGGACCAATCAAATAGCTTGCCGCGTGCCTTCAATGTTGTTATGACATATTCCAGGGGTGCAGAAGTTGACACCGAGCATAACCCCTGGAGTATCGAGGATGGGATCGCATTGTCGACGAAAGTAATATACATGTACGGTTATATTGTCTCGAAATATATGCCCTTGTTATAATTCTTCTCTAAGCTCAAAGATATTTTTATCAAATGTTACTTAATTCGATGTGATATTTGATTGTAGAAGTATTTCAGTTCAAAAACAGGATTATATTGGCTCATGAATATTGACGCACCTACTATATACATGTATCAAAACTAAATTGCAAGCTTAAACGAGGATCGTATAATTTTTATTTTTTTCTGAAATTGGTGAAATCAGATATGAAAATGCCAACCATTAAATGGTACGATCGTGTTAAAAAACAAGTCCATTTTCAGCATTCACATCTCTAAGGAGTTGGACTCCATCCATTTCGGCCATACAAGTGAAACTCTAGTTCGCAGAGAACTAACATACTAATCGGGAGGCTTTCGTCACTAATATCATTATCCTTATTATGGTTCCGAATCGTGTCTGGTTTTAAAGAGTTTAGCATCAAATTAGCAGATTAGGTAATTTATGGGTGTTCCTCAATGTGCCTAATGAATGCATGTATAAGTTCATGTGTGTTTTGAGACGGTATGTTAGTGTATATGCCTCTCTGAGATATCTCGAATCTGCCGACTTTATGGTCCTACCTCATTGAAATACCATGCTGAAGGCACCCAACCGGTCACAGTATACTATTAACGTGTTAGCCTGTTGTCGCGATTATCCTAAATGCTGAACATTTAGCAGGGAGTAACACCCATCTTTCCTAGGAAATATGGTGTGTCCCGGCATAGGAATATAAACCATTGCCTTCTTTACTTGAGGAAACTTTCAACATTAAGGCAACATTAGGAGGCACGGTATTCTAGTGGTAGGACGCCGGGTTCGTGACCGAAGGGTTGCGGGTTCGAGTCACGGCACGACACTGTGTTGTGTTTTTGAGCAAGATACTTTACTCCGCTTGTTCCAGTCCACTCAGCTGTAAATGAGTACGTGGTTTGGCAGTGCTAGAATTGTTGAATGCTAGCTGTGAACGCCGAAATTGCAGTACCGGCTGTATGCTCCCCAGGGAGTTGAGAAAGATATTGGCTGGTTGCAAAGGCCTTATAACCACGGATAATAATTTGTGAACCGCTTTGAGACGACCTTCGAACTAGGTTTAGATAAAGCGGTTTATAAGAACCTCGAATTGTTATCATTATTTTCAGTTTGGTATTACCAGGTGCAAGAAAATAAACAGGTTGTTAGGAAGGAGGGAATGTATAAAGATTATCAACGTTACAATGGGTACATTGGTTCTAGTTTGGTAACTTTTGTGTCATCAATAAGAAGGGTACAAAAGCCAATCCCCAGTATTGATGTTGGTTCCCACCTTAGTTGCCTCTTACAATATGCAGTGGGTATATTGTTTTCTCAATCCCCGACCTACAGGGCTTGTCCTTGATTAGTGTAACCGACTCATATCATGTCATATAGTATACATGGGTATACATGGACTTGTCTCTACCTTGTGTTTACGTTACCAAGCGTGCTTTGATTATTTTCATTTTATTTTACCAGTGAAATACTAGGATTCATAGTGAAAGGAAAGTTGATTTTATCCTCCAGAGACATTTTTGTTTTGTTATTCTGGCATGAAGCCGACCAATCAGAGAGCAGGATTAAGTGAAGAATAGCAAAAAGAAAATGCCATGTAAAACTTGGTCATTGACCTGATACAGCAATCAATAAACACCCATTAACCGGCCAACCCCCTTGCTAAAATACGAAACCGTCAACATCTTTTTACTCAATCATATATGATATTCTTGTCTTTTTGTTTTTGCTTGTCATTTTCTTTACACGCCTTTCTTTGTAAACCCAACAGGTAATTGGAAGAGCCATTTGCATTCATTTTAAATCAATATGTCCACCTCCTCACATGATACGTACAATAAACCAACATAAACACGACTCCAGGTGAAAGAACTCGAAATGACTAATGAAATCTTGCTATCCGAACCGTCTAAAGTTCTAGTCTGGTAAATTACGCTAACGAACTCTGCTTAATCAACGGTATGACAAATGGCACAGGGGGAAGCGATAGGTTTTTACGAACCAATTAGTGTCTTACTTTCCTGACAGGTGATGGTATTTATCAATCAAAAGCCGGCTTAAGAAACTGTCATGGTGCTCTTAATCCTCCAGCTGGCATCAGAAACAGTCATTGTGCTCTTAATCAGTAAGCTGGCATCATAAACTGACATTGTGCTCTTAATGCGTAAGCTGGCATCATAAACTGACATTGTGCTGCTCTTAATCCTTATAATCCGTAAGTTGGCATCACTGATGTGGCAAAGTGCTATATAGAAAGCTTGCAACAAAGGTGTGACATTTTTAACATTTATAGAACCCATAAGCTGGCATGTGTAATGTTGGATGGTGTTTTATAAAATACATGTCTAGCATCAGTGATGTGGCACATTTAACATTTGTAGAACCCACAAGCTGGCATGTGTAATGTTGGATGGTGTTTTATAGAATAATAAATCTGGCATCAAAGATGTGGCACATTTAACACTTATAAGATCATATCAAAATTATGCAATGATGCGTAATATCATCCATAATCTAGCGTCCATGTTAAGCTGGTATAGAAATTGTCATGTTACCTTATATGGGTTGTATCAATGATATGCCAAATGTCCAATACCGTACAAGGTAAAATGTTCGCGGCATTTTATGTTTTGTCATTAACAGTGAACTTTTCAAGCAAAATATTTGTATCTGTCAGTTGTACACTGAACTATATTAAAAAATATATAAATACGCCGACTGTTGTACGTTATATTATTGAGTTTTAGAGATACCATCGTTGTCTGTGACTGTACAAGGTTAGAAATGCGTCCAAACAGGATGTCAAGTTACCAGCTTTATCGCACATCTTATTAACATCTCGTACATTATTGGAAGTGTAACCAACGAGCGTAACAGTAAAACCTGTCGAAACCGGCCATCGCAGTAAAACATAGGAAATCAAACACAAGTGAAAACCTCTCAAAACCGATCATAACAGTAAAATCTCTCAAAACATCATATATGGGCAAGAGAGCGCACCTAAAGTCTTCTCTCAAAAGTGATCATCGTCGTGACAGCTATTCATCACTACATCACATTGGAACCTCTCAAACTCAAAATATATAGAACGGTATGCTGTATCGCGACGCCATTATAAGAAAAACGACAGTTCTAATGCAAAAGCTTTATAGTGGGATATTAACAATGTTGAAGAATTCGGTACTAAATATTCCTTCCTATGATTAAATTGAACTTTATTTCAGACTGAAGCAGGCTGGCTTGGTTTCTGGGGAAATACAGGAGGGACCTTACTCGGAATTTTAATTTCAAGGCAAGTATTAATGCCATGCAAGGATCATTGTCCCTCTGAACTCTAGGTTTTCTTATTCACAGCAACCTCCTTATATTTTGGTTTTGGGTAATATCGGTAGCACAGTTGGGCCAGGACACTTGTGTCGACAGGAAGCTCAGTCAGTAAGAGCGACAGTATAACATCAAGTATCCCATCGGTTTCAATACCAGTCTAGCTCCGCTAATTCTTTCACACTCATGACATTTTTGTTGATTATATTTTACTTATTTCACTTTATTTTTCAAGAATTCAAATTAACAAAAGTACCGCCTGGTATGGTTTTCTTTTCTATAATAATCATTATTTATTGAGCAAAAGAAATACCTGGAAAACAGTTCCCGATGCAATGTTACAGTTTGGGACAGTGGTACGGTGATCCTTAAAGGGATTTTAAGATAAATAACGTCTGTGAAGGCAAATTCGTCACATTAGTAAGGCTTTCTGTTTATAATTCGACCGAATAGGCATGTATCAAAATGCCGACGAGCACTAATACAGAATAAGATTCGATTGAAATGCCTATAAATAAACATTGTTGTAAACATGCCTAAATGATGACATGCAGCAACATTTGTGACGTCATCAGGCCTTCCGTGGTTTTGCTCAAAGGTACAGGCAGTTTCGCCACCTTCAAACATTTAACTAATTTACAAGAACTCTAAGTGTTTAAATGTAAAAAAAATAAAAAAATGTTACACAAGCTGTACTGATACAAACAGCTCCAAATGTGTGTGTTTAATAATGATTAACATCGAAATACATGGCTTTTCTTAGTTGTGATAGTTAGTTTTCGGTAAGTTGAAGAAACTGATTAATGTCGTTTAAGAAAGATGACGGGTATCGGCTGAGATGATGTCAATTTACATGATACGCAATGAAGACTCAGTCATAAACTTCCAAATCGAAACCCATTTTTTTTTTTTTTCATCGGGGCAGGATGAGAGAGTCCAGGGCTTTCATGTGTATGTAATAAATTTACACTAAATAACAACCAACTGGCCTCAGATTAATGAGTTTAGTTGACGAGATGTCCGTCGCACAGACCAAATTTTTAAGATTTGTTCTGTTACACAATATTTCATAACTGTTTTCATTAAAGTAAAGCTTTTCCCTTCTTATACCTCTTCTTGTCAAAATATTTGAAGGCTTTAACTGTGTTGAAGACTATGGTGACGTTATTTACGTCACATCTTATGTATTATGACGTCATATGGCATTTTCGTCACAGGGTGGCGAATTTGGGTGCATGGCGAATTTGCCTGCACTAACGTTAGCTGTTTTGTAAGATTTAAGTAAATAGTGGAATATATACGGAAGCGTATTTAGGATAGGATTGAAAAAATAATCTTTCCATGCAAATTAACAGACAATGAATGATTTCACATCCCTGTCCAAGATTGCCTACATTGCTAGCCTAACAAATTAGTTTATCTCTGCGGGTAGATAGGTGTTTCTTTGCCATGCAGAATGTCAATTTGACCGGACAGATTAAGTTGATAGATCAAACACATTACTATTGTTTTAGTTACTCTACTGCTTTATACATCATTTGGCAGTAACAGATAACGTATGTTAAATAGAAATTCCAGGTAAACAGTTGCAAACCCAGAAGACATGTTGTCCACCGACAGATTCCAAACCACTTCGTGACGTTAAATAATCAATAGAAAACGATATATACAGTAAATTATCATGGAAATGTCACATGTAGGATTGTCCAATTATGTACAGTAATGATATCGAACACAGCAATTATTCGGAATACATAAAAATGATATGTCTCCCAGTCCAATAACCAAATAATCTATGATGTCATACCAAGGGTAAATCAGGATTCAATATCTTTTACAGGTTCGCCGATATATTTGCAAAAAGGATGAAACTCTTCTTGATCTGTATTTATTCCCTATCAACTATCTTTTACGTCCTATTCACCTTAATGGTTATCCAATTAATACCTGGAAATTCAGGTAAGAGTTAAAGATTTCATATTGCTTAAACAAATTAAATTGCAATGGCTTTAATAATAGCCATCATGAAATTAATTTTCAGTATTTGGTTGTGATATAAAAAAGTTGATTAAAATGAGAAATCAATATATTTTTTCTTCAATCTGGTGTAAGAACGTTCCTATTCCGCGTTGTTTGTTTGTTAATTTCTTTTTTGGGGTGTGTGTGTAAGGGGGGCGGACTATCCAAAGTACTGTGATTTTCCTTATGTCATTTTAGCCTGATACTTTTGTTTCAAAATGTTTCAGTTTTTTAAAAGTTTTTTTTTTGTTATCTATGAAGATTTAACGATGTATCGTCATCATAATAAGGAATTGAAATAGGGTGACTTGTTGTTTCTTAATTTGATAATTACAATTCCAAAAAAGGAAATTACATAACGTGAAATTGGATCGCCTTGACGAAAACACCTTTATATTTTAAAGATTGTTGACAGATAAACACCTCGGTGAACAGGAAGTTAGATTGTTTCTTTGGAAATTTTCACTGATATTGATACTGGCTTAATAACCATTTCCATTGTTTAGGAACATGTTCATATTCTGTCAGAATAGTATTTACTTCTCGTCAGGAATGCCATTCTTTTTTGGTAAATAAAACTGTGATTTATGACGTCAAAATATAAGTAAACAAACAATTTGACGTTACAGAGCATAACGTCGTCATTTCTTTGCTTAAAGGTTATTGGTCAATATAGAAATGCATGTAGTATTAAAAAAAAAAGTTGTAGAAGCTATAGTATGTTAATTTTTTCTTGCAGCATTGATCTACTTTACGTGCATTTCCGGAGGCGTTTTTGTCACTGGTGCCATGCCGCTGTTTTATGAGATGGCCTGTGAGGGTGCTTATCCTGCAGCAGAAGGCGTCATTTCCGGTTGCATCACCCTTTTTCTCAACCTCACGGGATCTTTCGTTCTTTTGTTGTCCCTCATACCAAATATAGGTAGGTATTTTCAATAAATCTCCTGCTAAATTTTATACTGAGTATAGATAGACCTGATGGTAGACTAGCAAATGTAAATTTAAAAAGAGACTGTTCTATTCTGCACTAGTCCGAATTATTCTGACGTTTTATCGACTTTTTTGATATCGGTCTGTTGTCGATTAACGTCAGACCTCCGGCCCTCTATAATATGCGGGAAATAAGCGACCCGCGCCAGGGTCGCTCTTCAAACTGATATTTCATAAACAAATCGTCACTTTCACACACATGTCGCACATGGATCGAAATATCTATTCTTTATGCACTAGGTAGTATCAATTGTATGTTTCAAAGATCATTACGAACAGTATTTTCCAACGTTTTCTATACCAACCCATGTTTTTAATGGAAATTAGGGCATGCGCCATGTCACATGACTTGACGAGATCTCGCGTTACCGAAGGTATTTCCCAACGTTATGACGTAGGCCGTCGATATTTTAGTCACATGGCATTAGAAGGCGGGGCTATCAAAAACGTAAAGTAAAACAAAGTAAGTTTGAAAAAATATGTCTTAAGTGATTGTATTGGTTGTTGGCATGCTATGTATGTTCATCTCGTGCATAAAGAATAGATATTTCGATCCATGTGCGACATGTGTGTGAAATTGACGATATGTTTCTAAAATATCAGTTTGAAGTGCGACCCGGGCGCGGGTCGCTTATTTCCCGCATAGTATAGAGGGCTGGAGTTCTTACGTTAATCGACATCAGACCGATATCAAAAAGTCGATAAAACGTCTGAATAATTCGGACTAATTCTGCACGTACACTTCTTTATTCCCAATACAAGTAGATCTTATCCTAGAATAGCAATAGTTTATTTTATCATCTATATACTACTTTATACCACCTATTGGTATCATGATAAACTCATGATCATGGGTTGTCGATATAAAGATACTCAAGAAGAAGTTGAGAATGACTTGAAGACAACTTGGGAATCGATTTTCCCCTTTTCAGAACGGATTTTCTCCAAAAAAAAACATCTGCTCGCGCAAGGTGACGTCTCTAACCGAAAACAATATCCACACAACGGTGATCCGCGTCAGAAAGAGTACACCATGGACAAATCATTATAAAGTTATAAGCGTAAATGAGTACATGGAGAAGCCAATGACGATACTATTATGTAAAACATATCCTTCTTACATAGGTTTAAGATTCATTGTATTCCTTCGGGGAAATCATCCAGTTTTTTACGTTTGTCACAAACCGATGATTTCGATGATCATAAAGTCTAGAAGTCATTTGGAAGTGGGATTCAGTTAACAAACAGTTTATCCAACAAAGTTTTCAGGGTTTGTCGCTTGAACAATGTTCTCAAGACAAACTGTGATAATCTACAATACAATAGTCTTTTACCCGCTGTTTCTAATGCCCAACAGTTACAATCGTCAAGTACTGTAAGTTATTTATCTTAAATGTGATATATTTCAACAGTCAGTTTATGTAAGTAACTTCTTTTTCAGGAGATATATTTTACAATCGAAAGTTACTTATGCTACATTAAAACTTTGTATATATGCCAAATACTAATTGATTGTTTTTTGTTTCATTGCATTTATAGAAAGATTCATTGATTTGCTTATCTATTGAATCATTTTCTCACCATTGAAGGAACGGCCTGGATGAATTGGGCCATGGTATCCTCGGTTGCAGCTGCAGTCTTGTTAATGGCGACATTTGATGAGCAGTATAGAAGGAGTAAAGCTGATGCAACGATCAACATATCTCAACAAACAAATAGCTCAAAGTAAACAGTCATCTGATGGTCACTTTATCGCAAATGACCAATTGCTGCGTCTGATATTTCCCTCCAACCGGAAGTAGTTACATACTAGGATCTGTACTTAGATAATATGTCCTCGATGCTTGAAGTTGCATTTGGGCTTCTTTTACATTGCTTTTCGAAATTGCAAAAGGTAAAGGCTTACCACATTTATCAATTAGAATATGTAAGTGATTTTGTTAAAGATATGAACATTTCTAAATACTTCCATGTTGGAGTCTACGGGTAAATCTTGGTTACCACAAAAGAAGTAAATCAAGGTTATTGTCAATGTCAATGTCTTGTTTGTTTAAATTTGGAATGGTGTGCGCCTCCGGTGAGTCAAGTGTTTTACAGTTTAAAAAAATTGGTCAACATTATCATAGGGATGGCTACAATTACACTCATGACTTTCCACTAGATTAACCCGAAATAAATCATACTTTAGGGGAAACAAGTCTCAAGTGACCTATTGCGATCGCCTTTTGTCCGGCGTCGTGCGTCCGTTAACAATTTATATTTTCGACTTCTTCTCCAAAACCCCTGAACCAATTTCAATGAAATTTCGCAGAAACTTTCAATGGCCAAAAGTTAACCATAATTCTGAATTATATGGTCCCCAGCAACCAGGGTACTGAGGGGCGGGGCAAAAAAAGGTCGAATTTACTGAAATTTCAAAAAACTTCTTCTCAAGATCCAGATATGGTAAAATCAAATACTTTTCATAGATGGATGGCTCCTAAGGTGCTTTACCATATTTGTGAATTTCATGACCCTGGGGTCTCACGTTTCCCCTGGGGAGGCGGTAAACTTTACTATAATGTATATAGGGAAATCACATTTGTTTAATTTCCATTGGAAGTAATTCAATTTGGGTTAGCATTATCATTATTGGATAGCAATTTGATGGTATGCACATATCAGCCCTGACTGACCCCCTGGGGATGATGGGTGGGGCCAAAAAAAACCGAAATGACTGAAATTTCAAAGTCGTCTTCTCAATACCCAGATATGGTAGAATCAAATACTCTAGGGTCTCACGTTTCCCCCTGGAGAAGGGGGGGGGGGGCAACATTTATTCTGGTTTATATTGGCAAATGATACTTTAGATATTACATGTTCATAACTTGATTGGAATTATAACCCTTGGTTGACGGTTTGATACTTTGAACATTTTGAGTCAGACCTATCCCTAAGGGCTGTAGGGCGGGACCAAAAGGAGTCAATGTGCTAAAACTTTCTTCATTTTGTTTGTTTAGAATAAGAGGTGCTAGTTTCAAATACTTTTCAGTCTTAAATCTGTATGCTAGATATTGAATAAGGTGGTTTTATTGTTTGTGACTTTGAAGAATATTTCTGTTCATGTTTTAAAAACAAAAATCAATTCTTTGTATACATTTTATCAGAACTCAGGTGACCTCTAAGGCCAATGTGCCTCTTGTTTAAATATAGAGCAGTATTTAATGTAGGCGACGTTCTGATATCTCAGGTTTGTTCCAAGCACGGAGACTTGAGAATAAAAATGAGGAGTTTTGTCTGGATAGTCTATAATTAGGAAGATCAAATGTAAAATCGATTTCTTATGGATATAGTGTATTCTGACAAGCCGTATGATGCATGATATTACTGAGAAATTCTTAAGTTAATAAGCATTTCATTTGATATAGCAGATAGATTTTCCATTTTTTCCACCTGTCAGAAACAGGTTCTAGTCCGGTTTCAGCATATACAGAATTATAGGTTGCGAAAGAGGATAACCCAGTGGTTGTTATACGGACGGCTTCACGCTGGCCTTTCTCTAGTAAACTCGATTAATACACAACACAACTGTCCATACTTCACATGCATATTCCATTATTAAATTTTAATTTCAAATTTTCTTTCATATCATCAACATTTAAAATTTTAAAAAAAACACCTCCGTTTCGCTCAGATTCAAATCTACTAGCCACCTTTTTGCCTATTTACTTAGATATTCACGATCTTGGATTAATACAGTTTCAACCTCTTGACATGATAATGAACTAGTCTTAATAATGTGCCATCTGCAAGGAGACGAGAAAAAGAGTAAAAAAAACCTTCAGAAACATCATTATTTAAACAAGAAAAGGAATGGTCCTAGAATAGACCCTTTGGGGACTGATTAGTGATGTGTCTTCTGTAAAGAGACGAGAAACAGAGTAGAGAACTTCAGAAATAGCACTAATATAAAGAAGGATAGCAGTGGTCCTAGAAAAGACCCCTAGGGGAACTCTTTTTCTTTCACACCAATATTAGAAAATGAATTTGATTTATTTATTTCTGTCGTCTATAGGAGATTTAAGTATTTAACCAAGCTAATAAATCTGATAAACCGCAGGATCATGAACAAGCTGAAATAAGAGTCCTTTATACCAAACGTGATCAAATGTTTTTGACATATCGCAAAATACTAAGCATGCATTTTTTTTGTCTTCGAGAGATATACAATACTATGATAAATATTAATGAATTCTTAATTTGTTTGTTTGTTTGATTTTGTTTAACGTCCTATTAACAGCTAAGGTCATTTAAAGACGGCCTCCCCTGTATGCAAGATACATGCGTGTAGTGTATGTGTGTGTATTTTGGGAGGCTGAGATATGTTCGTGTTTGTCTCCTTGTGATAGCGAGGAACTGATGCCGACTTTATAGTGCTACCTCACTGAAACATACTGCCGAAGACACCCAGCAGGACGCCCCACCCGGTCACATTATACTGACAACGGGCGAACCAGTCGTCCCACTCGTAATTTGCTGAACGTTAAGCAGGAGTATAAACTACCATTTTTAATGACTGGTATGTCTCGGCCAGGGGACAGAATCCAAAGCCTTCCTTACAGGGGCGAACGCTCAACAAATGGCCAAAAGTGAGGCATTGTCAAGGGAGACATTAGGAAAAAGAAAGTTATTTAGAAAGGAGAGAAGAGATAAGGTCCCAAATTTAGTCGCCTCTTACGATCATGCAATTGGGGGCAGCAGGTACAATTCTTACGCCCTACCTGCACGGTCTAATGAATTGTTAAACAGTACACAGGTTTAGCAAAAAACCTGACTTGTACTTGTAAAACAAACTTGTTTTCCATAAAACATTATGTACATGTTTACAAATAACCTTTTCAAAAACCTTTCCTACTGTCGATAGTAACGATATTGGTCTATAATTAGGAAAATAGTAATGATATTGGTCTATAATTAGGAGAATGCTTATCGCCCTTTTTGAACAGTATTATTAAAATGACCATTTCCCATATAGTTTGATATTCATCGGATGAAGGGAGAAAAAATAAACAATATTTCGAGCTGTAACCTTTAACATCTGAAGACTTATTATGTCATGTTAAGAGGCTTTCCCTATTTTCAAATGTCTATGATTACGGATGATTTACTTTAATAGAATTGCAGATTTTTATAGGTTTTATCCTATGTTTCTATCACCTGCACCAGTAATAGAACAAAACTGATTGTTTTGAATATTTGCTTCATCAACATTATCTGTAAACAAGTCAACATTCCAATTTGGACGTAGAGGAGTAGGAATTGATTTGGAGGTGCCAGACGTTTTCATGAGTCGTTTAATCAGTCTTTAATATGATTGTGGGTCAGAAGTAAAATACTATATCAATATACCATTAACCTTTTTTAAAGAAATTTACAGTGTTTAAAATTCAGTGCAAATTAAAGGAACATATTAGACATTTGTTTTAGTTTTCAGTGATTAGAAAATTGAGTCTGATTACTTTGGGAATCCATGCTGGGACCTTCATCCAGGAGGAGGGGGAGTGAACATAGGGTGCAATATTGTCGTATAACTTGACTGATACCTTCGTCGACTCAATCGTGACTTAGAAAATGATGCGACAGTCGTTTGTCTTTTAAGCAATGATCTTGGCTTCATATGCATGTGAGAGTCAACACCAATGAGTTTCTGGCTGTGTCTAGTAAGATTTTCTGATATAAATACATTATACGATCCTGATCTATGGTTTTTGAGGGCAGCTTTATACATAAAAATTCGGAATCTGCATAAATATTTTTCTTTTCCATTTCTGAGTTTGCAAAAAAATTGCAACTGTGAATAACATCAAGGTCTCCTGTACAATCTAGCTCACTCTGTGCCATCGGTACACCGTGTAAAAACGGAGCGACTTTCTGCGACCTTTCTTTCTATTTCTTCATGGCCTGACTCAAGCGAAACAATATTTTTTCCTGCAACTTGATGTTTTCCTTTTTGAGAAGAAAAGACATCTCTGTCTGTCGACGAGTAGAAATGTTATTACCTTTTTGTTAGATTAGGCAGATTGATTGATCAATGGCTAAAGATATCTTTTAACATGTTGTTAAGAGTAGGAGAGATTGTTTCTGCAAGACAAGGAGCAACTGCTCATATAAATTCCGCACTCTGTATTGAAGATTATAGTAGCCATTGCATGTCGCGAATTTTACCCTAGTGGCTGACCTTCTTATCACCAAATTCAGAAAGACCATCCATAGAATGTATTTCTCCTTTTCATAGGTGGAGGAACATTATCATTATCCCCATTAACCGTTTAATACTTGAATGGACTAAATGTCCTAAATCAATGGTCACTTTGGCGTTCGGACACTGTGGTATGGACAGATGACACATTCGTCAATATAACAACACAGCGCTACAGGTTTTGAATCGTGGAATATACACACTTGTATAGTTCAAACCAACAGGTGCATAACTGACAAGTAATCGACAGGTTAGATACTCATTCAACCATAACATACACTTATTTCAACGATAAATCGATAATTATGCAATATAGATCACCAAATCTTTCATCTCACCAAAGCCAATGTTTGTTTAACAAATCGAAAGCAGTCAAACCCAACAAAATCTTATGGGGGAAATATCAGCCGTCTGTCCGTGTCGCCATTTGTTATTCCCCTACGATGATTGAAATAGCCTTTGTTAAAAAATTGTATATACAGACCCGTACACGTTCGCTGTTCCACCTTGGACGCAAACGGTACGCAAGTGCTACGCAAACGGTACGGAAATGTACCCAAACGGTACGGAAGTGCTACGGATGACGCTTATAAACGGTGATTCATTTGTGGTGACAAGAACGGGTTTACATAAAAAGCGGAAGCATATAAAATATCTAAAACGAAACGAACATACCCACAATGCATAGGAAGAAATATCAGTAAACTGCTACGTGGAGGCACATAAGAATGATTTAAATTCTGCCATTTCGTTTGCATAATGGATGAGTGTGAAACAAACAGAAATGTATCGTGATTTATAAATATAAAGGTCGATCAAATATTGGTACATGTACGATATCCATCACAAAGACCTGACGTACGCTAACAGATCAACGCGACACACAGATAATAATAAGTTATGGTCATAAGTATTTCCACCTGCTTACCGAATAAAAGACTAATTAAT